TTTCGTATTTCGCTCCTTCCTCTTGAATGACGTATCTTGGCGCAATATATGGTCCCATGAGGATTTCCTTTAACCTGTGGAATTGTTCACGCGAACCCTCTATCTCCCATTTTAATGAAAGATGGCAAAATTGAACAAACAAAATGAGCAGACTGCTTATGCAAGAAAATTAATTTAATAAAATAATTAATTTTAATAGCTAAGGAAAATAAGCCAAAAGAGACTCTGATCGAGAGAATTGAAGAATGTATGATAGATTTTGACGAAAATGTGAAACTTTCCCAACTTTTACAAATGTATTTTTACTGCGCGCCGTGTCGATATGCTCGAATGTTGATAAAAACGCGATAATGAGTGCAAATGAATTCATACATCGAAAAAAGCATTCCGACATACCATGCGCGATGGAAAAATAATCGCGATTTGGAACGATATAAATGTATGATTCCTATCCAAGCTTTTTTGCCGTAATCATCTGCTAATATCGCAAATTTCTGTGTCGTATAGAAATATAGCAATAAAATGTATCATTTATTCGAAAATAATAGAACACGATGCAAGAGAATTGAGATATTGCGATATATTGAAATATTTTGATCGTATAACAAGTTTGAGAAATTTTTTGTTCTAAATATTTTATTGATAATACATAAGGAATTTTTGCCACGGTATCTCATATCGAATTAATACTTAATTTAATCATTTATAATTATATAGATAATCCTATCATATATTGATAGTTCTCGTATGAAGTCCAAAACAATAATTTTTCGCCTGCCAGAGATTGTAGAGTCAAGGCACATTGAGTCTTTATTACGTCAAAAAAGAAGAGAGGAATGATAGAAAAAGACATCTTAAGACGCGGCACGATTAAAAAGTAGCCGGTAGAACGAAAGGATCGAAACGTTTTGTTCCGATATCACTGCCAGAAACTATTCGTGGTCAATCCTTCTGCAATCGCAGAAGTTTCTCATCCTATATAAAACAGGTACATTTTTCTAGGATAGCGGGACAAGTGTTGTCCGCGTGGGAAGACAGAAAAATGCTTTCATAAAGCGGCGCTTTTCTTTTTGCGCCTTCGTCCGCGAATCCAATTCTTTCTTCCTCTTTGGTACCTTCGCTTTTGTTCGGTCGTACCTTCTCTCACCTCGCCCTTCTTCCGGCCGTCATTTCGCTTTCAAGCACTCTCCTCGGTGCGATGGTAGATTCTTTGGCCTCGTTTTCCTCAAATTTTTATCTTTTTTTTTTTGCTGTGAAAGAGTTAATTTTTTTTACATCCTAATTGTGGTATACAATTGTCTAAGAGCACCTGTGTTGCTTAACTTACGAGGATATTCACTTTAAAACTAGTTATTGCCAAAGAAAAGAATATTTAAATGTAAAATTATAAAATAGCAGCTTTTAATATATTCTTTCCAAATTAATAAGAAATTTTGCTACAGAAGTGCTCAATTTAAAAATGATTAATCGTTAAATGTATTTCTATTCGATTTGCAGCAACACTTTTAATAATTTATTTACAAGTTCGTTTATACGCGTGCGAATATAGTGTATTCGGAAATTTAAATCACCATGGAGTGTTATCTCGCAGCTGCGTTCCTTGCGAAAGGAGCTCGCGTTTCCTCGAGAATTCACCGGAGAACGCTCGAGTGAGAATTTCTGGTGGCTGATGGGAAGTATAACTCGTCCCCGAAGTGCAGTAACCTCGGCGGAGGAGTCCCGGGCCCTTCTCTCTCTCTCTCTTTCTCTCTCCTCTCTCGACTGCATCGCGCGCGAGAGAAGACCTTATGATCCGTGCAAAATGAATGCATTCCTTCCCCCTCCTCCCGAACTGAGTTGCATCCTTTTCGTCTTTTCTGTCGAGCCATCCGCTAAATCGAGCATGCCCGTAAACCGAAGCGCGAGAATTTCACTTGAATTTTTCGAGAAACCCGTCCCAAACACCCCGCGGCCTCTCTTTCCTTACCTGTCTTTTATTTCCTTCGAACCGAGATAAAATAATGAGAATATATTTCGACGCAGCTTCCTAAATTCAGTTTTCTAAAGCGCACAAGCATTGCGTGAGATATGAATATCTTTCTCAGATATTGTTACTTCTGGAGCTGATATAATCGCGGCGGGCGAATAGAGTCGGTAATGAATTTTAAATTAAACCCTAGAATTTCTTGATCTCTTATTTACATTTACTGCAATTTAATATATTAATAAAATGGAAAATTTATATTTAATGTATTCGAAACCGTTGCTCGGTGAATTACATAATTTCCATAACATTGTATAATCTTAATCATCTTAATCATCAAAAAACAGTTATCTTCCCGTTATCTCGGTTGAGAAGAATAAATTTTCATTTAATTATTTATCAAATAATATACATTTTTATTTACATTATTTAATTTTATATAAAATCATATCTCTTTTCTCCCTCTTTTTATACGCCTCTTTAATTATTTGTCATACAAAAGCTAGGAAATCGTCGAAGAGGCAATTAAATGGAGACGGATTGTGACTGCGAGCAGTTTGCGAAGACCGGCTGGCACGTGATGTTAAACAGCCGTTTGTAATGTATTATTTAGACAAGATCCTGAAGCCACGGTACCGCAAGAAGCGGTGATCGAGTACCCCTATGCGTTTTCCAGAGGTGCCACGTAGACGGGCGGTAGAGTAGTTACATCCGTTTCGAAACCGGGAAAACATCCCCCTCAATGAGACGATGCGGTTACGTAGTTACTTCTCTCCCCGGCGCTGTTCTCTTGGTTGTACTTACGTGTCCCGAACAGGTTACAAACGACGAGCGTGGTATTACAACCCGCAAATTACGCGCCTCCGTTTGCCACCTCCCTTCCTGTTCGTTCCCCCGACTGCTGCAACGCAAATGTGCCGGTCCAGGACCGGTGGATTATATCGCCTGACTGCAAAAGCCTCCAACCACCCTTTCGTCGTATTTCTCGAAGGCGCGGAACGTGAAGCCGCTTGACATTTCCAAAATAGGACATATTAACCGTCATTAGAGTAAACGATCTAAGACATTTGTATAATAGGTACTTCGGGGAATGACTCATGAGAATTCGTGGAGGGATGTGTATAAATAATAAGTTCTATTAACTTAATGTGTCTGTCTCTCTTTACTCATTAAAATATAATTATATATATATAATTCTCACACCAAAAAAAATTACTAAATAATAATAAGAAAATAATTATGAACTATAAATATCGCAATAATTATATAACGAAGGATTATAATAATTTAAATATAATAAAGATTAACATAATTATTTTATAATTTAATGTCTGAGCGAATGAAAATTTAAATGCTGCGAGCAAAGAAAAACATGTAATCTCATATAGAAAGTAAACGTCGCAACACACAGGGGAATATTTCTTCCATTCATAAATTACAATATTCGTGGACCACCCTCGTCGTTAAGCGAATGCGCGTTTTTCGTTGCGTGGAGGCTGCGCGAAATTCATTTACGGAATTAATACCGCGGATTTGGTTAAACGAAGAATTAGTGTCGCGCATCCGCCTTAATTGCGCCAACATTATTATTCGCGTCCGGAGGCCGGTCCATAAGTTTACATCGCTATTTTTTCGCTTTCGAATTAGCGAAACCGAGATCTAATCAATTAGCGTATTTTACGTCGGTTGTACTCTCTCCATGTTGACAAGGTAAAAAATGAATTATTTTTAATAAGTTATCTTTCTAGAAATTTTATCTCTTGTAACACTTTTTGTACATGCATCGGAAACGTCATTTTATTTATCAACATTCAACTTAAAAAGAATAGAATAATCTTTTAAAATGTATATATTTCACAAACACATAAGTAATATATAAATATATATTTTCAAAATATAAACATACAATATATTATATATACCATTTTTATTTTTAAATTATAAATTTGCATCACAAATTATAAATGTTATCTTTATAAACGGTGCGATATCGTGTGCAAAGATTTAATTTTGCGCTGCGGTTTAATTTTCTGGAATACTGGACTCACATAGGATGCTACACGCGTATCCAAAATCCTCATTTCGCCCCAGGTGTGATCCTTTTCGCTTTCTCGGCCCGTAATAACGCGGGAAAAGGAGCCCTCATATTATGTTTGATTAATTAATTTACGCCGGTGGAACGCCGGATTATACAAACCCGAGGGCTACAACTTCTACTATTTCACCTCTCTCGCAAAGAAACAAAGTAAACAAACGATTCTGTCCGCTTTTCCAGCTGCCGTTATACACTTAATAGTATTAACATTAAACTGGGACAACGGTTATACAGGCAAGCAGGTAATTGCATCGTGTAAATTTGCTAAACAACGTGCTGCATTTCACACGGAGATATAAGTTTCTCTCGAGAGAGTATTTTCATTGTTAGAAAATTGTGTAAAATTCGTATAATTATTATTCTTTAATGTTTCCATTTTCTCAATTATGGTTTTTGAGATATTATCTAGCAGTCGCGACAAAAAAATCTAAATTTATTTTGTTACATTAATAACACAAAAATTAATATTAGCATTATCTTAATAATATTATTAGCGATCTCAATTTTTATAAAAGGCATTAAAAATTGAATAAAGATCTTACCTTTACTCCTCATCGTCCATTAAAAGCAGCACATCGAAGCGCATTCACGAGAAGCGTGAGAATACGAGCATTAGTTTTTGTGAGTGTGAGACTCGAGAAACGAGTTGCATCCGCGATACATCTTCGTGCACCATATTTCACCGCGTGAAGTTTGCGAGTTCACATTACCAGGGGAGAATCTGTTTGTTTCGGTAGGTCTGTAGAGCGGTGAGAGATAGAGGAGTGTTCGCACACGAATGTCGTTACAAAAGGCTGCGGCAACTGCAGTTGATTCTAATCGGTGGAGTCGCCGATGTTTCCCAGTGCGGAGCAATAATTAATGTTAATGTTAGACGGAATAATTATGTACAAATATCACGAGGAACTAAAGGAGAGGTAACAAAAAAATTAATACACGTTCTGATATTAAGTATTTATTACATACAAGCATTTTTTACAATATCAAGTATTTGTTTCTTTTTTTATTATTATGTATTCTCTTATAGAATAGTTTTAATAGTTTTAGACTCTCAACCAAATCTAATAAAAATATTATATATGTGTACACGAGAGAGATGTAGGGGTAATATACGGTGTTCAAACGGTTAATAAATATATTCGTCGAAAAAGAAGAACGGGACTAATATAAATAACTTGATATAATAAATTGTAACAAAACGCGGCGCGATTCCAGCTCGTTACAGAAATTTTTACAGGACAAAATGCAGAGGCAATTTCTCGTGTGAGAACAAGCGATAAAACATGTCAATAAATCTGTCATTTCAAGCTGTATCATGCTTTTCTTGCTTTGAGATATTCTCGGCGTAAATAGTGTGACTCGCAATGTAACATGCGTTTGTATAAACACACTCAATAATACGATCTAAAACGATCAATAACTGTCGATAAAAATACATATCAATCGTTTATGATAGAGAAAATGTATCGATATTCGTGGACAAGAGAATCTCTCCTCGATTCCCGAAAAACAGATCACAACATTACGCAAATGCGCGAATAAAGGAAAAGCTTAAATTTAAACTGAAACGATAGTGATGAAAAAATTTCAATTTATTTCAATTTACCACATGTATAGCTTGGTGATTTCTCTACGCCAGTTATGATAAAATATGCATAAAATAAAACGGGGAGAAAACGGAAAGGGAATATCTCGCGCGCAAATGTACGAGAAAAATTGAATAACAAACGGTATACATAAAGTCCATACACTAATTCTATTTTTTTCTCTAGTGTCGACAATCGTCTCTCTCGACCATGCTTTCTGAATAAAACCGGGATAACAAAATTCCTTTCACTATCCTCATTATAAATAATCTGTCGCCGAATTCTACGTGATATTGCACGATTTGCAATAAGATAAGCACAAAATATAAAAAATATGCTATACCGATACCATCGTCGTAATATTTTTATAATGCAAGTAATGATAAATAATTCGCATCTCTCGGACGTTGATATATTGCAGCCATGTCGCATTACACATTACTATTGCAATATCAATTTTATTTTTCTTCGTCGAGTAAAGCGCAATTAATCCCATCCGCAACATTTTTTTCGCATAACAATTCTTACATTACAATTAACGTTACTAGATCGTCACTTTATTAACTTATGCAGTGGCTATCTCACAAAGCACTCAGCTCATCCTCATTGTTATCATCATTATCATCATCGTCATCATCACAGCTAGAGAATTTATGCTCGATCCACGAAAAAACGTAACAATAGCGAAGTGTCTAGCGGAAACCTAGAATATACCAATGGTACGTAGGCCTTCTAAATGAAATACGATAAAAAAAGAAAGAGAAGAAAAGAAAATAATAAGACTTGCTTGACTAGTGAGCGCACGCCCCGAAATCTGATATGGAAGGAAAGTATTTTTCTCTCTGCCTATCGTTATTTATTTCCATGTCGTATCCGTAGAATGTCTCTCGTATCAGATGCGATAACGCGCTTAGATCCACTCGTCTATCATGAAATTGTTACAAGACAGTACCTCGCTATGCTATCTCTTATCTTAGGGACATTCTCTAATCTGTCGTTTTGGCAGATACGTTCTCAACGTTTAATCCGACTTCAATATTTCTTTTCTTTTTTTTCTTGTGCTATATTTATTCGTCAGTTGTATTCTCTCCATTCTAAATTCGCGCCATTCTAAATTCTTTCGTCTCTATCGATTAGTATCTTGAAAATTTTACTTGTAATTTACATACGTATATGTGTGGTAAGAATGAAATCATATGTGTATGTGAGAAAAAAATTAATTTCATGTCGATTCGTTATTGTGTAATATGTCCGTGTATTCGAAAATGATGTGTTACAAATAGGCCTCAATCCCTTCCAAAGGTCCTTTCAAAAGTTATGTTCATCTAATAGCGTACTACGACACAGATTGAGTGTCCACACTTGCTGTTGCATAATATAATAATTAATAATATTATATATTATTTTACACTTTCCTTTTTCCGATTAGGACTCTCAAAACTCGATACGTGAGGTCCGGGGATGGTCTTCGTCTGATGCGGCGCCCTTTCTCGCTCTACTTAGATATCCTTTCCACAAACAATACATCGCGCGCGACAGCTGTTATTTACACTATTAGAAACGACGTCTCGTTCTGTGTGTATCGCTCGTCACGAGCAATTTGGCTATCAATTAACCAATTACTTTCTCCTCCATTTGTCCGGGAACATTTAAGAGACACTTTATGACAGTAGATCTGCAAACAGAAAGAGAGAAGCAGACAACGTTTAATACAATTTTCATAAATATCTTCCCGATTAAAGTGATATAGCCTATTTAACTATAAGTAATACAGAGGTCCAAAACATCTAATATACAATTCAATATTAAAAAAAAAAAAAAAAAAAATAAGTAAAAATATTTCAATAAACCTGAGAAATTCTGCATATAGCTAAAACGAGTTTAACTTACATACCTGGTACTTGATTGTTGTCCTGTGGCTTGTTATTGATGAAATTGTCTTGGAACGGATTGACGTTGGCGTTAGCGGAAGTGGGTACGAAACCCATTGGGGTAAACGGCATCGCCGCCGGATTCAGGTTGGAGTTGAGGGTATCCTCATTTGCCAGATTGGGTGTCAGTTCGAGTATCGATCCGGTATCGTAGCCGCTACTGTTATTACTCAGAGTATCGAAGCTCGACAGGTCTAACAGGTTGTTGGTCACGTTGTTTTGCTTGCTACAAAACCAGTCAAAGGAAAAAAATACAGAGACTAAATGACAGCCAGACAAATCGACTAGGGACTACGACTTAAGCGACTATCCACGATTACTAACACGAAATCGCTGCCGCTAAATTAGCTATAAGCCGACTGCGAGCGATTCGTTAACATCAGAGAGTTAAATCATTAAAACGAAATTAATTTGGACTTTGTCGAACAGGAACATAGCCGCAGTTCTAGATACATCTAAAAATATTTCATTGAACTGAACAATATAAAGCTAGATAAGATAGCTACAAACATATTGATAAATATAAAGCGTTTATTATATGCATCAGTCGTTTTTCTATGTCATATATCATATGACTGCTTCTCAAATTGCAAACTTTAAATGCCACAAGAGGCAACTGTTTTGATATAACTATCAAAACAACTATCGCATAAGCGATTCAATCTAATAGAAATTATTTTTATAGCAGTACTAACCAAAGTAGGCCACAACCTTTTGCGGTCCTTTGTGGTGGACATAAATCTGTATATTGCCGAATAAAAAATTGTTGGAATATAACTATATGTTACAAAATATTTCATCGAGGTATCGCAACAGGTTTTTTAAATAAGATACTACAAGAACCAGTTAATTAAAGAGATATGTCAACTTTTTATAATTATAAGATTATAATCATAAGAACTTATACAGCAAAACAGCAAATATGAATTTAATTACATCAAAAATTGAATCACATTAGGTCACTCATCGAGTCAAAAACACGAAACAAAAAGCTTCATGCCGCGTTTTACCCCTTCTTTTTCTTGTTTTCGATGTACCTGTACTTTTGTGTAGCATACGTGAATATAGTGTGGATATGTATAAAAAGACATCTTATTACGGAAAAGTATTATATCGGAAAACATGTGAAAATAAATAGTACATAGCAAAAGTAGGCAGTAAGTTGACATATATCACTCGACGGTATCCAATACACAAGCATATGAGGGTCACAGACAATTATTGTGCAAGGAAAAGAACAAGCCACACCATATCAATGTTAATTGGTAACATGCATTGGTGATTTGCAGAGTTTGTTGCGAAAATCACAATCGCACTTACGGTATACACAATGAGTCAGTAAATGGAAGAACATTTTTTAATATCTAATTGGAGGAAAAAAAAAACAGAGAGAAATACTCAGCAAAGATGATATATTTATCATATATGTTATTAAATATTATGAAATAAAAATATTAATTGTTATTATTGCCTTTCCTATAATGCAACTGCGATATATCATTGTTACTCTGTTTTTTTTGCGAAAGTCATGTTAACATGATTCATCCTTGCTGAGCTGGCAAATGTGTTGTGAAATCACAAAACGAAACGTTTCAATGAGTCATTAGATTTATACTGCTTGTCTCTCTTTACATTATGTACACTTTTATTTGTCGTGTGATTTAATGCTAACTGTGTAGTGTTGTTGATGACTCTCTTAGCGATTTCATGCTTCATGTACAATATTACATGACGTTCTTCCAACTCGCTGACATAATACCTATAAATAATTGAAGTACGTACGCGACTAATTCCCGATATCTTTGATAATCCTAGCTAAAAATAGTATATTTGTCGTTAGTACACAGCTGAATATCAATTATAAAATATTATTTAAATTATTACAATAAATGATATAATATACATTCTCGTACTTGCAATCTCATTATTATTAATAATGTTAGTCGCGTATATTATTGTTAGTTAATACGTTGATAATCGTGCAGCTAATCCGTATTATAAACGGTGATTCGCAATGGCGTTGCTTATTATACTCGTCAACCGTTGCTCTGGCTACTTTTGCAATGTACAATATGTCTGGTCATTTATAATATTTGTATAAAGCGATAAATATTCGGTGAAATTAATATCAATAGGCAGTTCCTTTATAGGGAGTCTCAGGAAAGCGCAGTAAACTTTTTACTAGATAACTCTATAATATTTATATATATATATATATAATGTGTACATATGTATACATATATATAACTTTGAAACTTAATTAATTCATTTTAGTATAATTAGCTGACGTTACAAGACATATTTTGAATAACATAATTCATTATATATACAGATTGCCTTTGATAAAAAGGCCTTAAAGAATACATTTAACAATTTTACATTTAACTATAAAGGAAGTCTCAAATATAATTGCCATTTCAGAATCTAACATGTACAAATCTAAAACTCAAAATAATAAATCTATTCGTGGTGCAATAATTTGTTCACTGCGATTTAAAACCTTCATCACGCCTATTTACAAATAAAATCGTACAATATGTTTAATTTAATATGTTTAATATATGTGCTCTTCGTGATTTTAAATTATATAGAACATTAATTTGATTTTTTCATTTTCTATAACGCGTAAATGATTTCTATAATGTGTAAATATGTGTGTTTAAAAGTTTTACATGCAATATTTTTGAAAATGATTCCTCTTAACACAAATTTTAATCAGCCTATCTTACATGTATGATATATGTACGCTGTAATTCTTATCATGATCGAGCTATGCAATCATTATCGTTTTCGTTTATACCAATGTTCAGTCCATTTTTAGATGAATAGTATAGTGGCTAGTATTGTGCAATTACTTATGTCCTGTAAAAACATTAATTTCAAGTAATCGACATATCATCTATTTTGTTGATTATTCTTCCTGATTAATTAAATATAATAGAAGTTTGCTTGGAATATATTCATCTTATTATGTTTATGAGATACTTTAATTTACGAGATTACACAAAAATTAATTTTGTTAATATAATATCCTTTCTTCAATATATTTTAATATATGCCTTTCGATCGCGGATAATAATAGGATACTAGCAGCCATATGTTTTTAGCATTTATTAATTTGAAGTGAACTAGCTTGAGCGAATCGCGTCGCAGATCACATGTTTCAATGCCCAATTAAATGCGCAATCAAAGCAAGCTTCGCGATTACTATGGGATATTATTGTCCATCGATCTAGTAAGAAGAGGCATACGATTTGTTCGGCTCTCGGTAAACGACGGTAATAGCGCGTTTACGAATCCGTGATTTAGAATTAGTATACTTACACAGTAGCATTGTCCAGCGTAATCGATTGACTGTTGATATCGTTTCCATGATTTGTATGATGACCATTCAACTCCCCTTCAACGTTACCCTGATTATTATCCAATACAATTTTGTTTTCGTTAATGCCGTTGCTATGCGTCGTGCCATTGTGTACTATGTCCGGCGCAGATAGATTGTTTTCTGTATGATGCGCGCGTTGTTCACCGCTGATAAATTGCTGAGTCGCCTCGGAAATTAAACTGGCTGTCATGACGTCGTCACCTTTGCCGCCCAGCACCGGTTTGCTCTCATCGCTAGGACTATCTTCCTTCAATTTGTCACCGTCACCACCTTCTCCCTGTGCATATATTTGTCATATATATGTACATATGTATCTAACACAAATTATTTTTTAATTTCATCAATTTATTTTAGTAAAACATTCGGTTTACACGAGTTTATTAAACAAAATCAATTTTAATAATTTTAACATATA